CAATAGACAACGGACAATTTCTACCTCTCTCCATTTGCACTGCTTACTCTTTTGCACTGTTTACTGTGGCTACTGTGTTATAAGTCAATTTTATTTTTAATTTTATGTTTTGTATGCTACTGGATACTTGAATTCCCCTCGGGATAATCTATCTAAAGTCAACACTGCATTCATTGTCATTACCATCATTATCATCATCACCATTATTACGCCATTATTCCTCATCATCACCAATGACGGCACATCGCTGTAAATAACGCCACTGTAACGCCGTGCAGTATCGAGCATCGTACCATGTATTTAGATTAAGGAGCTTTTAACTGAACTGTTTCTTTGTATATAACATCAAGAAAAGTAGCATTAAAGTATTTGCTGTATCTTAGTGTGTGAATTACATAAACGAGAGGCTGCTTGGTATGTATACGGCGTCACAGAAGATTACTAATACAGTATATTGCTATAAATAAAAGAAATGGGTGTTAAATATATGATCTGTTGTATATAATCGAGTATTTCGCACAGGATGGAAAAGCTCTGGCATCCACACATTGCGTTTCAGGGCGAACATATGAGCTTGTATCTGATGTACTGCACACAGTTAATTAGAGAGGTCAAACACGATTGTATTTGAATGCACCATTCCAGACTTCTCAGACAATCTGCAGTTTTTGGCCAAGTCTATTTGTGTGGGCCGCCCATATAAGTTCCATACGGGAAGCACTGTAATCCATTTGGAGCTCCCCCCACGCCCCCATATTAAAAACAGGGTAGAGAGGTATAGCCAATTCAAATCTTAATGACACAGATGGCCTGAATTAGGAGAATTTTGGGACCTAAAACTGAAGCAAGGGCCAAGAGAGGTTGGTATCATGCAATGCTGCATCTCCATGGTCCTTACATCTCTTACCATTGATCTGTAGTCAGATATAAGCGATGCTCTTCCATGGATTAGACTCATAATCCTCAATTAGCGTATCATATATTGAACTTGTGTGCTTTAGGGATTTAGAGGACTTAGAAGCAGGACTAACTTAGACTGGCATGAAGGAATTTTGGCACAAGCATGATAGGGTTAGTTGGCAGCCTTTCCCATTAGCCCCCAAATCAATGCGGGTGTAGACAGTTTAATAAATAAAAGATCCATAGTGATGAAGAGCTGACATTCAAAAACAAAGTCAAAGTCGGGCCTCAAACCCAAAAAGAAAGACGTTTAACATCATAAGGAACTTTAGAATATGTCTTAAACCTACTCCAAGGAGTTTTTAACTGGTTATGAAACAGTACAGTCTCAATTTAATACTGATGCCTCTATATTACCTACAGAAGGAAGACCATCAGGGAGGAAGATTGGCTATTTCTATGTAGTTATTCTTAATGACCGCCACAGGGTCCGATTCGGTCGTATTCCCCTGGAAATCAATGAAACGAGATGGTAGAAAAACTACTGCTTTTGTCTACGTCTGCCACTAGAATCGATTTTAAATTTTAATTAAATAAAGAAATGCGTATATATTTTTATCTGACTTAAACGTGTTGTTTGTCTGATTCTGTTTCACCTCTTTGAACAACTAAAAAACAAATCATCATCATCGTTGCATTTCTTCTACTATCCCAACTTAGATCCTCACAAAATACTCTATAAAGCATCTGCAAACGATCAATATGTTGCTGTAACTGCAGTAGCTTGTAGTTTCTGCCTGAAAAATGATGATAAGCACTTGTTAAGGATGATACCCAAACAATGAAAAACAGATGAGATGAGATTTCACCTCTGCTCTTCCACCTCCAGCTGACAGCACAATACATGCTCCACTGCTGAATATGCATGCTTACCCAGTCAAGACTGCAACTGCATTGAAAAGGTGTGTATTAACCGTTATCACAAATCTGTCATGGTCCTTGGATCGTGTGCTGCATGTGAGCCTATCCGCATTTACTGAAGGTCTTTTGATAGATAATTAAATCCAATAGATAGTTACTGGAATCGCTTTATAGAAAATGTGTCCCAGTTGTGGTGAGCAAGGAACTTCTGATGCATAAATAACAGTCTGTACATTTCGTTATCGGCGTGGGTGGAAAATGCTAATGTTGTGAAGACATCAGCTCTCCAAAACAAAGTACTGCTTTATGAAGCTGTGGCATTAACAACACCTTCCACCTACAGTCCACTGCGTGGTTAATTTGCACATACACAAAGTCACTGTGCACAGGGTCACGCTAATGCATGATACTCTCCTGCATTGATCACTGGCCATTACAGTGACCCAATCAAAATAATGTGATAGTCTGTCAATCCCCTTACACGGATGTATTTCTTCCAATAGGTCAGAGCAAGGACCTGAAGCTGGTAGAGATTGGTGTCTTGCTCAGAGACACTTCATCCCCTCATCAGGTCCGATATAAGAGCTGGACTCCTGGTGCTTTGGTTGAAAGACAGTAAGTCTGTGTAAGGCACACGGTGCCCTCTCCCTGAACTACAGTTCTTATGGCATCCATCCAGTGGCTACTTGCTGCATCCGGGACTGGGAGTTCAGTGTTTGGAGAATTAGCTCAGTGGATCATGTTGATTGACATCTTCATTTAAAAATTATTCAGTTCACAGTTTTGGACTTGAGAACACAAACAATCTTGAGACATTTCCATCTGTGATGGTCTATGTCTGTGACTGCATGTCATCATAAACTATAAATTTGGACAGTATTTGAACAATGACCTCTATATGTTTGTGTGTGTATGTGATTCCACTGTATGTGTCCAGTGGACGTGTTTGGAGAGTGTGTGTGCAAGCATGGGGGGTGAGTGCTGACCTTCCGTTCTTTGTCTCCATACTCCAGGCCCAGCGTATCCATGGCGCGCACGATGGCAGCCAGAGATTGGATGGTGTTGCTGTAAACGACAGGCTTGTACTGCTTTACGTCGTCGCCAGAGAAACCGTCCTCGTGGATGATCCTAAACACACAAACGCACAGACAATGGTCAGACACAGTAACAACAGCCCTTCACATACTCATTAAACACCTATGAGTACACAGAAAGCAAGAAAACATACACTGAGTGAGAAATAAGTGTGTGTGCATGTATAGTCAGGTTTACTAGTGTGCAGATAAAATAGTTATATTAAATACACTATGAAAAAGTTAAGTAAACGTACAATATGTAATTGGAGTTTTTTTACCAGGGGCATAATTATCCACAGAGGTCTCCTCCTCCCAGGAATCAAACGGACCCAGTGATTGAAAACCGGTAAAAACACTGAATAAAGCGGTTTCACCTAAAAAAAAAAATCAGTGTTTCTCCGTTCACTGTTCAAATCAAATGAATGTTCAATGGACAAAGTACATCCCGTTGGGCCTGTGAGCCGAGCTGCTGCTAATGTTAGCTCAGCTTGTTTTCCCTAAAAATGTTCAATGACTAAAATCCTTCATCTGGTTAAAATATATAATTCAATTCAATTCAATTCAATTTGATTTGTATAGCACCCAGTCATAACAAAAGGTATCTCAGGACACTTTTTTTAAATAGCAATAGCAAAGCAGGGCTAGACTGTACTAAAATGATTTACAGAGACCCAACAGTTCCCACCACGAGCAAGCACTTGGTAACAGCGGCAAGAAAAAACTTCCTTTTAAGAGGCAGTAACAACCAAGTTTATTCTAAAAAATGTGGCTTAAACCTGGCATGCACAAAGGGGATACAATGCCATTGACAGGTGACTGGTAAAACACACCGTTACCTAAATAAAATTACAGGTTTCTCTGGGTTTGAACTTTGTTGGAAACATTTGGGATAATGTAAGCAGACAACTCAATAAAATATAACATAGGTCTAGTCTTTATAGACATTTGAATGCAGACATGTTACACATTACAGCTTTAAATGTCATTAAAATAAGACCATGTGGACATCAGAGGTGCCCAATGCAGTGGATGTGTTGCTGGGATATATTAGAAGCGTTGGGTAAATAAAGGAGAGAGAAGGTTTTGGAAGAATTGGGGTGAGGGGTTAGAGAGCAACACAGGTGGTTGAAGAAGGGTTACAACAAAAACACAAAAGAGCGAGCGGGACTCGGGGGCAGGGAGGGGAGGGTCCATAACCAGTAGGCTAAGCTGACATTTAGGCACACAGTGCTAGTGGCAGCCCATCCTGCTGTTTGAAATGTCACGCTGTCTTTCACTGCAGCTGACACAAGGCCACACCGAGAGACAGACGCAAAGACAGACAGTTAGCCGGGCAGACAGACTGACAGGAGGAGAGACTGTACAGATGGACAAATCAGACAAAGTCAAACAGAGAGAGACGACAGAGAGGGGCAGCCAAGAACAACAGGCAGGACACCAGAAAACAAGTGCCTCATGCAGACAGACAGATACAGGTTAGGGCAACAATGTAAGGCAATTCAGATAGACAACATCCCCACACATAAATGAATGGGGGTGAACAGGATCTCCTCACAGAAAGGACCTGAGGATCAAACCTGGTTCCTTCTTGAATCACTCTAGTCCTGTATCTGTCACTGCCCCCAGTATAAGAGCCCATTATTAATGCTCTGCCCTCCTGACACACCATAGAGATTAGCTGATGGGCATACCACCCACTGATCTCCAGATAAGTGGAAATATATGTATGCCACACAGCCAATCACTAGTCTACATCTTCAAACATCATGAGGCTAATGAGGTTAATGTCAAAGCTCTTTAGTCTGTATCATAAAAGTACCTCATTTTGACACCTGGTCTCACTTTTTAACAGATTAATCCAAAAAGCCAAAGTGTCACAAGTTCAAAACTGCATGTGGCTATTCAGATTTGTCCATGTGTTCAGAATTTACAGATTTGTGTACACATCCACAGATTTTTGTACATCTCCCAAGTAGCGAGGACTGAGATACAGTTTCACAACTCTCCATACACATTTGCAAATAATGTTGCTTTAATACAAATCTGCCTCTAAAATCTAAAATTACATGAACACAGCTGAAAGAAGTGAAGAACAAATGTAGCCATTGTAGCAGGCCCACATGGGCAGCACTGCTGAGCCCAGGAGCAAATCTAAATTTGTTTTCCTTTCAAGAAGTTACAATGTACCATTTTACAACTTGGATCAGAAGCATGGAGGTTCTGCTGAATAACATTCAAGAAATACTTGAATGATACCACTGTAGTGGTAATAAAGTCTGATGCAGGATAGCTGAATTAAAGGAATAGTTTTTTTTTTTATAGTTTTATAACCTATAATGAGCATATCAAATACAATACATGTATATAGTTATATAGTAAATTAAACCACCCAGCAGTATAAGAAAGGATTAGAAATGAATGGCTCTCCTGCAGCCAGCTTCAATACTGAAATGCATGTTCAATGTTACTGCATCGATAATAATAATCTAAAGTAGCATTTCCACTGCATGTTGTGGTTCAACTCGGTTTTTAAACCTCTACTTTTGTTTTCTGTTGCACATACAGAAGTACCCCCTCACCATAGGCAGAACTGATCGTCATGGTGACGCTATTCCTGCAGCTGTGCCACACACAGGAGCTTTCATTTACTGACAAACTACCTACAATCAGCGCCCAAAATGAAAGATGTCCCGAGGACAATAACAATAGCACCTGGGACACAAAGATACAGCGCCTGGGACGATTCTGGGACAGTGGGGAAATGTATCATCACAAATGGAATTATAACATTTATGCACCATGGAATATACATCATTTGAATTTAACTTCATGAGGTCCATATTGTCCAGTGTTGTCGACTTGGGAACTTTCTCACTAGATCTGATGTCAACTGACATCACTTGAGTCAGTTTATCAGATTTCGCACAGCTCCCTCTGGAGCCACAAAAGGCTTTACACAACCTTTTTCACATATTCTGTAGTACTCCTTTTAACCCAGTTCCCTTTTAAGACTTCCCCACAAGTACTGTCCAATTTTACTACTCTGGGGAATGAAGGGCAAAATGATGCATAAAATCCACATTGACTCTGAAATAGAAGTTTTCCTTCCAAAACGTCCAATGTAAAATAAAAAAAGTTAACCACAGAGACTACACCCAACAGATCATTAATATTCTGCATCTTTATAATCATACTCAGATTATTGCTGAAATTGCAAAGCAACAACGTGGCCTTCTCAAATAGTTTAGTGGGATTTAATCTATGACATTTTAATTAGTTTTGTTTCCTCTCACACATGCATGAGCAAACAAACTCACTCACAGAGACACACACACACACTGCTCTGTCTCAAAAACACCTCAGCAGTCTGTGTGTCTGAACATCTGACAAACATGTGCCACATTACGAAGAAACAGGGTTCTCTGCGATCTTCCAGCAAAATGCAGCTGAATCACGTACTTCTCAGTTCAAGGAAAGCAAGCTTGCTGGAACACACTGATTAATTCACAGCCTTTAATTGTACAAAGTTCAGAGTGAAAATGCACAAAGACACGAGGCAGACACCATATATAGTAGTAGAGCAGGTTTACAAGTGTCATTGGGTGATTGGTTGAACAGGATTTTAAATCTATTGGATAATGAATCCGAGGGCGGGAGTTACCAAAATCGGTGTCCATGTGTCACTATACATCTGTATGTAAGTTGATGTGTGTGTGAGCATGTTTATGTTGTGTGAGTCTGTGTGTTTGTGGTCTCGAGGACAGCACGGAGTGTAATGTTTCAGATCAATCAGGCAGCCTGCCAGTCCTACATAAATACACCTAGCTCCTGTTTACATCGGTGACTTTCACACAGAAGGCCAAAGCACAGTTCTATAAACTGGACTTGGAAGAATAAGTGGTTTATTCTTATCTATTTGATGTTCACATCGGCTAACATGTCCAACGAAATGACATACCGAACCGAAGCATAGGCGTGAATACGAACTGCAGACGTCTACATTTTTGTATCTCCATATGTGCTAGCCTGATTATTAGTCTTCCCCTTCTTCTCTTGCTGTCTTAATGACTTGCCAATCAGACACTTTTTCTGAAAGTCTTTCGTTCCTTCCATCTTTCCTTACACCAGCGAGGTGAAGCGAGGACAAACTCTTAATTGGATGCTGCAGTCTCTGCGGAAACAGTGTGTTGAGCTGAAGATGCCAAGAAAGAGGGTGCTGCCTGTTTCACAGTTACCTCAGCAAGAGCCTAAAACCATAGAACCAGGGACTCCTGAGACCAGAGATCTGTCTCTCTATAGACTCTTATCTTTCTAACATGATATACAAGAAAACAGAAAAAAAAACAGCTGAATCATTACTGTCTTTCAAAATTGTAATACTATCATCCTTATTAGCCTGGGAGGAGAGAGATCGATAGAGTAACAGCACACGAAAGAAGAGAGAGAATACAGTTGAAAAAATAAGAAAAATTAGATGAAGCAAAGATTTACGATTAGTGCTGCAGCTAGTGTCATTAGAGGTGTATCAAGGACTTGTTTTTTTGTGTGTGTGTGTGTGTGTGCGCGTGCGCGTGTGTTGAGCTGGCTGGCCTGCTGACGTGAGCTTTCATGCATGAGGACCTTTTCTCATTACCCACTCTCCAAGTCCTTCTGTCAGCAAAGACAGAGCACTGTGTGTGTATGTGTGGATGTGTGTGTGTCGGTGTATATGTGTGCAATTTCCCATAGCTTTGGCACAATCTGCACGGTGACCTGAAACATAGTTTAGTTTCACACCGAGCTAGACAGATGGACGCAGAGACAGACATATGGGCAATTTAACTACGATATTATTCCATGATATCATTATGTGGCTGCCATTTTGGAGGCCAAACAGGAGTTTGTTTGGTGTAATGGCAAACATCATTAAGCAATCCATACTCACGTTACATGACTGGTATTTGTGGTTCTCTATCAAAATGCCCTTAGAAATGTGATAATCACTACATTTTAAACAACAAATGTCATTATTTTTCAATTCTTTGTGTGTGTGTGTGTGTG